CTATTACCATATTTAACCGAAAACTTATATTATTGATTTACCAAGCTCTAACATTATAGTTTAAATGTCTTTAGTTTTATTGTGATATTCTATATTGTATTCTATAAAATTTTAATTATAATGAAAGATATTCTAAAATTAATAATATGGATTATTCAACAAAATAAAATTTGTTTTGGCTCATTAGAAGAATTCAAGGCTGTATTTAATGATATCTTTAAAGATAAAAATTTGGTAAGTTTTAAAATATTTATTAATATTGATCTTAAATTTAAGCTTTTATCTGGTTCGGCTAATTACAAATTAAGATATTTCTTTTTAATTTTTACTACTATTTATAAACACATTATGATAGTTTCCGATATCTTGGGAAGAATCAGGATTAGATGAATACGAAGAGATAGTTTACCCATCTTATTACAATAAGTATAAAATATCTAATTTTCAAATATATTCAGTGTTGTTAAACGGTCCAAATTAGGTCGATTTTTTAAAACGGCCCGATTAAGATTTTAACCAAAATAATATTATTTAAGCATCAGGATTTGGATAGAGGTCCAAACCTTATTGCCACCTATGAGAAAAATCCTTGGCCAAAATCATAATCTGACTGTTTTTAGAAATCGAACCCGGCCGTAACAACACTATAAATTGAATAGTATCGTAAAAGATTAGTAATGGTATATCTTTATAAATTTTAGGAAATCGATTCTGGCGGGCGTTAGTTTGATCTAATGTCCTTTTTTGAAAATAAATCTATTAAATTATTTGTGCAAAAATATATTTAAGTAAAAAATTGTCGTTAAATATTAGTCAATAGCATTAAAAAAAATTAATAAAATATTTACAATTTAAAAATTATTTCTTCCCAAGATAAAGGCACTAATTAACAATATACTAATATTTTTGTAGAATAGATTATTCTGAATTGTCTGACATATGCAACAAAAATAGCCCTCAAACGTTTGACGTGAATGCTTGTTGGTATATTAAAATATTATCGTATTTTAAAAATCATAAAAACAAAAGGTGTACAAACTTGTATGTTTCATTAAACAAGACTAAGGAAATTATGATACAATGTGAATATACAAATAAAGTCATTATCACTAACAAATTAAATCAGCTGCTATGGGAGTATAATTATGATAAATCATGAAATAATTTATTTTTTAGAATGAATATTATAGTTTTCGAATCCCAAGCATATCAACTATATTGAGATATCATAACATTACCTATTTTTATATTACAATGATCCCACTTGATAAAAACATTGAAAGCGTTGTATCTTTTGCCTGGAAAATTGAATGCAAGTCACAGTAAAACATAATATATCCATATTATATGTATACTAGAAGAATTTAAAAGTGATAGAAACTTTGATGTTACATTATTACCAAATCAATATGAAGTTATGAAGGATGCATACAGTCTAGAATTACCGGTTGATATAAAATATTGGGTGAGTCCTAACAATATTTCGGCCAATGCCCAAATATATATCAATAATTTTATAGCAGTTGATCATAATACTACAAATGTTTGCGATTATATCAATTTTAATAGATTATATACAAAAACCGCGAATCATGATAATCTCATTAAAAGAATCGCAAAAAATTCGAAGCTTAGATCGGCACAAAATAATGCTTCATATGTAAATCTTAATAAAAAAAGAGTGGATATCGCTAATAACTTGACGATGGGTAACAGTTTTAACGATACTACTGATGTGAATGTTAGAAGCATAAAATATAACTCTTTAGAAGTTGCGGAAGTTATCGGTATTTTACATATACTATATCCTTTACTAACAAATACCCGTCAAGAATGATGGGTCATATTTAATGAGGGATGACTTATATATTTGTCCTTATTTAGGAGAAACATTAATTTTAACTACTATTTTTAAGATATCGAATGTGAATTTGTATTTTTAAAAAAATGTCTTAGCATACACAATATAAATATTTTCATTTGTATTACACATTTGTAATTTATGATTTAAACATGCTAAAAAATTTCAAATTACAAATGTTCAAATAAAATATATATATTGTTGCATGTGTAGAAAATATTTTTAGGAGTATATCAATATCTTAGATATATGGTTATACTTATATTCAAAATAATTTTGGCATAGTTGAGACTTGAGAGTACTAAAACTTATCTATTTTTTGTTTTTATTAGTTTTTTTACATATAATTGGGCTCTTGTAAAGTATACTAATTATGCTCCTACTAGAAATCATAAATAATTCAAAAGCCTTGCTAACATTTTGTGCTGAAAAGCTTTTATTTGTTAAGCATGAAAATAAATTAGGCAAGTTCAAATCTCGAATAACTTGAACGTTCGTATATTATTAATTATAGGTGTACCGATCAATTATCATACACCACAATTTTTAAATATATTTAGCGTCCCCTTCTCTTATTTGTAAAACTAAGGACATAAAAAGTAAAAAATCATTAAATTTAACATAAAAATTAATTTTCTTATATTTTTAATAAATTTGATAAAACAAAATGGGCGAGTTACAAAATGATTGTAATAATGAAAATTTTTCAATAAAATATTGATAGATTGTATTTACTATAGTAGGGAGACCGGGGTTATATTGTCCATAAAAAATTGAGAGGCTGTGAAAAGGAGGAGAAATAATTTATCAAAATAATTTTGATGTTATTTTATTCTTTATATAATTATCTACGGTAGAAATTAATATCTAATAAAAAAATATTATATATTTTTTTAAATTTAAATTTTAAAAAAATGAATTTTTGAGTCATGAAAGACGGGGGACGTATTATCCTTCTGTGGGGCATGTTTTAGACTATCATTTTCTAAGCATTTTATTCATTTTTTTCATACAAAAATCATAACAAACATATGATATTAACATACAACACATTTATTACATATAAAAAATGGATTAAAATCACAACATGATCCATGTGCCCATAAATGACAATTACGGCATTGGAACCAATCTTCATTATGGTGGTGAGTTTGATAGTTTTTGTGGCACACTAAACAAAATTCTTTTTTGCCAGCATTCATATTTAAACTTTTTTTATTATTGGTTTGATTTTTTTTTCAGATTATTAGCCCTAGATCTGGCTATTTTTCTGTAAGGTGAAGAGGTTAAAATGGCTGAGGTCATTTGATTACGTGTTGTTTTTTTAAATATTGTTGGATGGGGACTAATAATTTCTGGAGCAAAATCTTTTTCCACGTGAGAAGATGATGGAACAGGACTATCACTGACAGATGGTTGCGAAATAATTTCAGATAAATTTAAATTCTCATTTAGGATCGTTATTATTATTATAATATAAAGGATTATAATTTTCGTCATTAAAAATTAAAGGATTTAGGAGCCATATACCTGAGGATTCAAAACCCTTTTGGATATTTGAAGCTGAGGTGGCTTTTGGAAGGACATCCTTTACTACTCTAGAGATATCATATATAGTAAAACTTTTCCCTGGATGCATTCTCATTCAAGTATCCAAGGCACTGTTGTAATATTTTTTAGAGGTCCAAAAACAGTTCTATCCAATGTGGCTATACTTGTAGCCTCTGGTGTTCTCAAAGAAATAGTTGGATTTCTTTTAATAAATGCCTTAAACCAGTCTTCACCAGCTGATTGAGTTATTTCCCAAGATTTTGGTACTTGTAAACTATACCTCTTGGCCATTTGATAAGCTAAAACTCTAACCTAAATTTAAACATAAGACATTAAATTATTTATATATTAAGGCAATCTAATTAAAATCCTAATTCTTAAATTTTATTCTGAATTTATTTTATAATTAATATAATAAAATATATCATACATAATTAAACCTCTAATGTATAGGTAAGAACCAAAATATGTTTTAATGTATGATATAATTTAATGCTAAATCAATGAATAAATCATTTTAAAATTAATATACATGGCAGCATCATTTTATTTTAAATATATATCATACACACATAATTAAATCTTTAATATATAGGTAAGATATGATTTAATGCATGATATAATATATATAATGCTACAATTAATAAATCATTTTAAAATTAATATTAATACATGGCAGCATCATTTTAAAATTTATATATATACATGGCAGCATCATTTTATACATAAATGGCAGCATCATTTTATTTACATATATATCATACACACTTAAATAAATATCATTCTAATGTATAAGTTAAATTCTTACTTTAAAGTATTTTAAAATTAATAAAGATGTTTCATTTACATATAATGTAAATAATTTAAAAAATTTTTCTCAAGTTTATTATTATTTAACTAAAGAAATACCATGGCATAAATTTAAAGATTATAAAAAAATTCATTTTACAGAGATATATGATATAACAAAGGATTAAAATACTTGCTTAGGGCATAATCCTGAAAATAATCTTGATCCTTTAATTAAATAATCTGTTAATTTAGCTTCTTGAATAGGAGAAAATACTGATCTATGAAGATATAGCTCTTGAAAATCTTCATTCCTTTTGAACAATTTATTATACCTCTTAATGCTTAGTTTCTTTAATATATACTATTTAAATATATAAATATACCTCCCATAACTTAAATTCGCGTTCATGGTTATAACTGTCAAAGGTATCTTATCTTTCAGCATTTGAAGAATACTTGCCTTTTGATTATCATTATTTTCTTTGTTAGTTTTTCTAATATATGTTCGACACATTTTACAAAATCAGAACCAATATTTTAATGAATGTATGTAAAAGGAAAAGACGCACCCCGCTAATACCTTCCCCAGGTCCACAGGATCACTTAAAAATTAAATTTAGAATATTAAATTAACATAATGATTGTCAATATTTTTGTATATGATAAAATGGAGATTTTTTTATCATTTAGAATTTATATTAAGTCTGAACAACTTTTATAAAAAAAGTTATTCGTGAAAATGTAAAAAAGTTACTTTGGGTATGTTGAAACTTAAATTTGCATTTAAAAATTTTCATAAGCAATTTTGTCCGAAACAATTTTGGACCTACTTAAGCACCTTATTATAATACATATTTGGCTTAAATTTCAAATCTTAAACTTTATTAATTTTTAAATTATTTGAGAAGGAAATACCTACCCCGGGAACACACTATCCCCGGTCTCCCCTAAATAGATTTGAAATTTTGTTTTTACCTGAAAAACCTAAGATTTTTTATTCCTAGGGATAACACATAAGAAGCTAATACTATTGTATTATTTTTTTCGCAAAACTTGCTCTTATCTTAAGCCCATATTGTTTCTATTAATTTTATAATTTAATAAAGAAAAATGATTTCGAAGCAACAAAAAAAACATTTTCATTGAAACTGGTATCTGATATAAAATTCAGAAGAAGTTTCCGCTATTGAAAAAATTAATATTATTAAAATGAATATATTTGTCCTAGGTTCCATATTTATAAACATTGATAATAAATATTTATCAAACATATAGCCCCGGCCGCTAAAAATGGTATGATTTTAAAAATCCGGGCCGGGCTTAAAAATATTAATGAAAAAATGGGTCGGGTAGAATTTATAAAATAATATAATGGAACTATATTCATTTACTGCTCGGACCTTCGAAACAATTTGCAAAATTATTAATGGTTAGATTTTAAAAATTTCGGTTCGGACCTGAAATTTTGACCTCTGCACAGGTCTCTAATGATTATTATATAAGAAATTACCACAACTTTAGGCTAGGTTGAATTTTTATTTTCAAACCTTGCCTGCTAATTTGGATCATATAACTTTAGATTAACAAATTGAGCACCAGTGGCTAGTATTAGTGGCATAGGGCCTCAGTCAAAAAAGTGGCATCGGCACACCTGTTATAAATTGTATCTTAATTTGGATATTTTTTAAAATAATTTTAACTCTTAAATTTTTTTGCATATTTTAATTTTTCTTAAAACCAAATAATAAGTTTGCATAACACACCCCAAAATGATATTTTATTATTAAATTTTTTTATATATAAATTATTTAGTTGGAATTCTAATTTCGCTTATAGTAGTATCAATAGCTTTGAATATATATCACACTATAAGATCAAGATGAAGATATGAAAATCAATCTGTACTTATATAATTTGTAAAAAAAACATTATTTTTGGATTGTTTTATTTTAAATGCTAAAAATTTATCACAATTTGCTTGCGGCTTGTTTCGAATTTCCTATATTTACAAAATTAAAAATAATTTTTATAATAATTACGTGTATTTAATGAAAGCCATATCGAGTAATCTTTTTGAAGCAATATTAGGCGGGGTCTGGTCGTACTTATCAGAAAGATATATAATCCTTTTAACACCCGCCTGAATGATCAATTTGGCGCATTCGTTACAAGGGAACAATGTAATGTACATAGTTGAATTTTTAGAGTCATTAGAGTTTTTGTTCAAAATACAATTGAGTTCTGCGTGACACACTATTATAGGTTTATTTTAAATGACTAATAAATAAGATCGAGCAATTTTTTTACCGTACATATATTTTGTATCAAGGACATTTGTGGCCTCTCTTGCCCAGGGTAAGTCGTCGTCACTACAACCAGTGGGCATACCGTTATAACCTATACCTATGATCTTTTTATCCATATTGATCAAACACGCGCCAACCTAAACATTTTAAGAAATATTATATAAAAAAAAAGGATTAATAAAAATTTTCTAATAGTTAAATATCGAACATCTGTATAATTTCAGTATATAATCTGTAATGTAAATCTTATAAATGGGAGGGGGCATAAATTGTTTTGAAATGAAGTTATCAAAATTTAAAAGAGCTTTCTTTATTGCTGGAAAACATTTAATATGTGGTGTTAATATATAATCAGCTGAAAGCCAGTTATTTTTTCATTAAATCAAACTGAATCTTCTAAAATTAGTTATTCTATTAGATAACCTTTTTTAATATTATTTGTAGTATTTTTATAATTATAATTTTCCCATATTAACTGGTCGAAGTTGATGAATTTAAGCGATGAAAAGGGCCACCATTTGAAATTTTTTCAGGGGGAACATATGTCGGTATGAGTGCCATAGAGGTTTATATATATCGTAGAATTAAGTGCGATAGTGGAAAAATACTTATTTTGGGCAAGGTTAAGAGTACGTTATCAATTTTCATATCAATGTACTTTTCCTTCATATTTACAATGTAATAGACCAAAAAATTTTTTTCAAATTCATAAAACATTTAGAAATTTTTTTTCATATTAAATAGGTTGACACATTGCACTATATTTTTATATCATTTAATTTAAAAATCGGTGAATAAAATATGAGAAATTACTTTGTTTGAAATTAATTTTTCATTTGAGTTTACTCTATCATTTTCAGGAAAAGGATATATAATATGTCATTTTTTTTCTATTTCCACATCTAGAGAAATTTTTGTCTATTTATTGTTTTCAGTGACATTTTTAAATTTAAAAAATAAATCCTAGCTCTTAACCCTTTGATAATAGGATGACCCTTTTTCCAAATTACTTTCCTGTAAATGAGGGGAATAATATAATTCTCAGCCAATGACCGATATTTGGTTTGAATTTTTTTTTACAATTTGCATATTTATATCTTGGTTAGAAAAATAACAGACATATTGTATATATAACATTTAATAATTATAAAATTCAAGGATGTATATAAAAAAATATTAAATTTTTTAAAAAAATCTCCCATTAAATATGTGTTTTTTTGATAGAAAGGTTTTGTCAGAAATCAAAATCCTAATAACGAGGAGGAATTAAATCGTTATAGAGGAAGGAGAGAGATGAATATTTGAGGAGAATGCAAAGAATTATATTAGAAACAAGGAGACCTATATTCCAAAATGTAGAAGAGAGGAAATTATAATATTACTTTTTGCTTTTGTAATGAAATAATTTAATATGCAAAAAATATTCTTAAAAAATTTTTTTGCCAGAGTAGTATTGTTAAACGGCTCCATTTGAGCCGATTTTTAAAAACGGCTAACTCAATATTTTATCCAGATAAACATTACGCAAACCTGAAGATTTTTCTCATATATGGCCCGAAGGCCTAAACATCTAATATCAAAATCTCTGGCTAAAATATTGAGTTAGCCGTTTAAAATTTGGCTCAAAACGAGCGGTTTAACAATACTACCAAAGAGAAAAATAAAAATTAAGAGAAAAAAATTATAAAAAGTGAAAAAATTGTTATAAAAAAAGAAAAAGGAGTTAAAAAACATAAAAATAGAGGAAGAAATATAATAGAGAAAATAAATAAATTATTTTTAAAAAGACTAAAAAAGAATGATTAAAAATGAGAAGAAAAAATTGAGAAAAGATTTAAAAAAAATAAAGATAATTTTTATTTAAATATTTTTAAAAATAACGATTTTTCCTTTTCTTAAGACTTTGCAACTTTTCCTTTCTTAATTAAACTTTTTTCCTTTTTTGATTGACACTTCATTTTAAGATCGGACCTTTTTCTTTTATGATTGACACTTTTTCTTTTTTAATTGAGACTTTTCCTTATTAGGATGGTAAACTCTGTAAATATAGTTAATAATTTTTGTTGTATTAAAAAATGATAATTTGTATCAACATAATCAAAATTTTTTATTATAAATATAAATTTTTTTAATAAAAAAATAGATAATAAAAGTCTGCAAAATTTCAAAATGATAGCATTTACCGAATTTAAATATTTAGATTTCAATTTTTGGTAAACACCATAAGGCACTTTTAAATATTTTTCAACTGGTTAAAGAATGGTTAAAAGAAACTTTTAATTAGGTTACAAATATTGGTATAAATATATAAATTTAAATATAATTCTAATAATAGATAATATATCAAATGTATTATATAAAGATTATATATTTTGAGTTATTTTGTTATACCTGAGTATTTGGATCTTTACTTCTTTGAGCAGAAAGTAATGCAATTGACATAAAATATTCATCCCATGATAAGTATCCTTGTCTCTTAGTATTACCAAATTTATCTATTTTAAAAAAAAGAATTAATGTGAAAAAATACCTATTTTAAAAGTGCTTCTAAATTGTGAGATTTAAAAAAAATAAAATGATTAGTTACATTTTTTGGAATGTAACGATAAAAGTAACTAGTTAAGACATGTTAAATATTTATATATATCACATTATATTTTTACGATTAATTTTTAAACTATCTAAAATGTAATTATTAAATATCTCATTTATACTAAGCGCTTCTATTGAAGGTTTGTTAAGCTTATTTTTGAAGAAAAATGAGCATGTTAAGCACCAATTTTAAAAATAGTTTAAAAATATATTGCCCAAATTTTTATGAAAAGTTTTATCGTTATTTATTTTAATTATGTAAGATAACTTTTGGAGGATTTATCAAAGAAACCAACGATAGAATACGAATTTCCCATATATAAAATTATAGAAATATTGCTTATTTAAATATTTACAAATATCAAATATTTTATCAATTTAAGATTAATGCCTTGGCGATACCCTATAATTAATTTTCAATTATTTTCTCTTCTCTTCCTTTTATTTTTTAAAATCAAATATAACATAAAAATCAAGAAGTAATCATTACAATTTCTTATAAATAAATCAGCTCTTTTGAAATTAATACATCTGTTAAAAGAAATAAATTAATCAAAATAGGTGGTAATACAAACATTGAGGAATCTATGGGCTCTGTGAGTAGCCAGAATAATTTTTTGGAAGTGGGTCCAGCCTTTATCAGTAGACAGTTCAAGGTCTTCTCTGACGAAACTGGAGTAAAAAACATTTTTGGCATTGCCGTATCACCTGAGTTAGAATGGTCAGATGTAAATGGTAGCAGTGGTCAAGAACTGGCTGAGAAAAACAAGAGATGGGGGCAGAGAGATTTGGGTGGCAGTGGGGTATTACAATGACAGTCAAAAGAGGGATGAACAATCGTCAGCGGAGAAGTTCTTAGCGATGGATGGGATGAGGGAAAAGAGATAACTGAAATAGAGTTCATGGTGGGTCAGACCGTATGGGCTAGAAAATTTGGGGGAACCAAGAAATGGGAGTCAGGTAATTGATAATATTGAATCCAAATTCGATTAAGTCTAACTAGGCACAAATTAATATAGGACGTGCCAACCCGTTGGAATTCTACCTATTAGATGCTCGAAAGATTGATAGAACAAAAAAGGGCGGTACAGCTGTTCATTATCGATAATCCTAATTTGGGAAATCTCTCATTATGAGTTGGAATTAGCAGAAAAGGTAATTGATGTTCTGGAACCAATTCAGAGGGTAACAAAAGGAATAAGTATGGAATCATGTTCAATTAGCAATGTTATACTCTTTGCTGCAATTCTGAAAGTGAATTAACGATTAATGGGGACACAAATAAAGTGTGCAGACCATGAAGGATACCATTAATAATCAATTAACAACTCGGTTTTTTGTGATGACAATTATCTTATCGCAACATTACTTGATCCTTGTTATAAGGATTTCTTTTTACCAAAAGGCATTTCATATATTGAAAAGCTCAAGACTACATGTGAGCATTTTATTAAAGGTGATATTAATGTTAAACTTCCAACTCCCAATAAAGATTAGCCATGTTTTATATTTTTTATAATAAATTTAGATTTTATTGTTAACTTAGGTAAAAACAATGAGAAAAATGTTCCACAAAACATTAAAAAATGCAAATTTTATTTAAGGAATGCTTATATATTAAAAATCAAAGAGAAACTAGTAGTAAATAATCAAAATCGATAGTAATGTAGATAAACTTATTTGATAAAAATCAAGGAACATTTGAAAAAATCTTTATATCTAGAGGGCATAATAACATATTTAATCAAGTATTGCTTGGTTGGGTTATGATTGACCCATTTGTTTGGGTGATATCTGATTATTTTTCCAAATCAACAAAAGATTGGCTTTGTATTAAATCTACTATTTTATAAATGCTAATTTTATATTTGTGTTATTTATTTAGATAACTCGAATAACATTGATATTATATCCCCTGTGGATCCACTTGAATATTGAAGAATTAGTTGAAAGTATCATACTTTGTCAAAACTTGCATGTATATATTTAGAGCCTCCTGCAACAAGTGAGTCTGCCTTCAGTATGGCATATAGATAGTCCACATTGTAGAAGCTTATTGCCAGAAAATCTAGAGGCTCTCATATTTATTAAAAAATAGAATATATTATAATTTTATAATTTATACCAAGATAAAATGTATATATTATTAAATGTATTTTTTTTATCTATTATAATATATATATTTTTTAATTATAGTCTTAATTGAGAAAAAAAATTAATCAAATGCATAATTCGATTTTTTGCATAAAAAATATTGATTTCTTAATTACATTTGATTTAGGGGAGGGGGTAAAAAATCATTATAAATATTGGATTGGTTTTGAACCAATATTGGATTGGATCAATGAAAATATGTGGATCAACAAAGCCCTAATTAATACCCGCCATTGATAGGATTTTAAAATATTATGAGCTTCTAAAAAGATATTTTTAAATGGAATTTTAAAAGCTGTTCAAATATTTTGTAAGAATTTTTTGAAAATGAATTGGCTGAAGCATATGTATGCATGGTTTGACATTTAGAAAATCTACATGCTGCTAATATGCAATTGCAATCAGATGAATCTTTGTTAATACAGATTCACAATTATGTTACAGCTATATTAATCTTTACTGTATGTAATATATTTTAAGGCTCTATTGTTAAAAATGTCATTTTGAGCTTTAAATGCCTAATTAATTTGTTTTTAAATAAAGTGGATTTATCTAATAAATTTTTTTTAGAATATTAACAGTCAAAATTTGATTTTAATAATTCTATTTAACAAAACCATCTATTAATGGATTATGTAATTTGATAAAAATAAATACCACTAGATATTAATGAGATTATTATTCATTTATTTTTTTATGATTCTCTAGAATACATCAAATAAAAGGTCCAAATGAATTGGAGAAATGGGTATAATTTTTTTGTAATAAAGATCCCCACACTTGGGAAAAATATGCAGGCATGTATTCTCTATTACCTATTTTGAAAAATATTACAATGTTACTGACTTGTTATTATCTATATAAAGTAAAAATCAGGATTAATGGGAGGGGGGGGGGGTTACAACAATTACAGAAATTTGTCCAAAGGCCAGCATTTTGCAGGCCATTTTCCTGTAATTTTCATAATTCTTCTATAGAATAAAAACATTTACCAAATTTCTCCTGCAATTTGAATTTTGACCTGGCAACCCATGCAAAGCCCAATGATTGAGCTTTTGAGGCCAGGTTTTGCAGATCTCTAATATAAATATTTAATTTATATTTATGGAAGTATATTCAACATAAATATATTAGATACAGTATCACAATACTTTAACAACTCTGATATCTAACATGATTATAAAAATTGATCATTTTTAAAATAAGTTTTATAATACAGTCAAGTTTTATAAACCTTTCAAAAATTTTATTAGTTCATTAATATAAAAATGGATTAAGCATATGTTTAATATCTTTCTCAGGTTATAAATTTATTCTTTGGTATTTTCTCTATATTATAACCTGTTCCCATGCTCTTTATGGTTGCCAATGCTATTGAGAGGGGGGAAATGTTTGTCTATAATAAGGAATAAATAATATCCATTTTATAATATTGTACGATTTTTTTAATAACTTAAACATGAAAAATATATTAATTCATAAAGTATAGTTTTTCTATAACTCTGGTTATTAATAAACTTATCTACTAATTTATTCTAAAAATATAACGTTTTAACATTAAAATTTCTTATTTTAAAACAAAATATTATACTACTCATTAGATTAAATCCAAAATCTATCTTAAAAATATCAAAAAAACCTAATAAGATTTTAATTCCCTTTGTACCCTATTTAAATTTTTAAGACTTTTTAGTGTTTTTCAATAGTATTAAAAGTTTTAGAATTACATTTTTTATTTTTGGACAAGAACTTATCAACTGGCAAACTATTTTTTTAAAAATATTATTGAAAATCATGGAACTATTATAATTTTAATATTTTTAAATATAATTTTAATATTTTTAAAATTACCAATTATTTATCAGAATTTAAGATATTTAAATAAGATAGATAGCTGTCAATTCCCATTTTATCTGTCATATTCATATGCGGTAATCGAGGGATTATTATCAAATATTGAATAGCAAAATACAAATAGGTTATTACTAGTGTTGTAAAGATATTCTTGAAATAAAATTTGTTATAGTTAATACCTAAAGGGCAAATATTGAAAGTAATGATAGCGTCTACCTGAGGATATTTACTGTAGTAAACCCTCATCAAAAGCCTTTTCACCCAAAAAAAATTCTCACATTATTAATTACACGTTTTTAATTATAATGGCACCTTCATATATCTTAAAAGGAATAACAAATTATCAATACTCTACTAAAAATTATAAAGAAATTATGAACGTAAAAGCAGTATCGTCATATGGGAAAGGCGCGCAGGAGCTTGAGCCCTCTGAAGCAAAAAATTTTTTTTAATAGCTCCTTAATATCAAACTAAACTAAAAATAAATTTTTTTAATAGCCCACTGAACGATTTTTATTATAAATATTAAGTATTATATATAGATTTGATTTTATTATTTAAAAAATAATTAGAATACTAAATTTTTATTAAATAAATGCTATTTTAATTATTAGATTAAATTAATGTTGTAGCAGTTGAAAAAAAGAAGAAATAAATTTAATATAATATATAAAATATCAGTTATTTTCTGACAGGGGAATTAATGTTTCCTTGTGGATGGGAATAAAACAAAGTGATCATCACATGGGTTTTTGGTAAAGAACAAAAAAGGTTTCTTTGTGTGCGGTTTGGAGTGAAAAGACATTATATGGGATGAAGACGAGATTAATCAGGAAGATTTAGCAATTTAATGATTATCGTTTATGATATTTATATATTTTTAGATATTTGTATGAATAAATTAGATTTTTAAACTATATGGGAACTTGGACAATTTCTAGATGTCTATTGTTGATATTAATTTAATTATTAGAAAAGGATTGTTTTTGATTGTTAAATTATTTTTAGAGGGAAGAATTGAGAGTAAGAGGGGCATTCTTCTATAATTAATACTTTGTTGATTGATTTAAATTTGAATATTATTTATTTTATATGTTGATTGATTTAAATTTGAATATTATTTATTTTGTATATTAACTATTTAAGTTGTTCAATTAACTTGTAAATTTTATATATATATATAATGTTATTAGATGAAAAAGATAGTAATAAAAATAGTTAAAATAAGTCCTTACATTTATTATTTACATGGTGCCCCGGTTACGGTGGTACGTTTTTCGTTTTAAATTAAATTTAAATGATAAAAGTTTTTAAAAAAATTTAAAAAATATCCTTACCTTGAATTCTTTTGTTAAAAATAAAAAGTAAATGAATTACTTATCAAATTCGTCGTTCGATATGGGAGATGTTAAAGGACAAATAAAATTTTTTGACTTTTCTTTTCGATAGTCAAAATTTTATCCAAATTTACAAAATTATAAAAGGTAAAAAAAAAAATTTTTTTAGAATAAATATAACTTGTTAACTTCTTGTTTCTTTTATGGCGCCCTGTTACGTTTTTGTAAAAAAAAAAAAAGAATAAAATATAGAAAATTTGCCTAAAATTAAAATAAAAAAGTATAAATTAAATTAAATTTGAAATTGATGACTACCTTATTTATTGATTTGACTACCTATTGTGACGATTGCTTAATCCATTGAGATGACTCTATTTATATGACTACCTATTGTGACGATTGCTTTATCCATTGAGATGACTATATTTATATGACTACCTTTGTGGTGACTACCTATTGTGACGATTGCTTTATCCATTGAGATGACTATATTTATATGACTACCTTTGTGGTGACTATATTTATATGACTACCTTTGTGGTGACTACCTATTGTGACGATTGCTTAATCCATTGAGATGACTCTATTTATATGACTACCTATTGACTACCTATTGTGTTGATTGCTTAACCTATGGAGACTGCGTAACCTATGGAGACTGCTTAACCTATGGAGATGACTACGTATTATGACTACCTTATCTATTGTGACTACCTAATCTACTGAGATGACTATCTAACCTATGGAGACTGCGTAACCTATGGAGATGACTACCTTATTTATTGTGACTGCCTAATTTATTGATATGACCAATGCCTAATCTATGGAGATGTTAGCACGTTCTTTCATGCAAAAAGCTTCTTTCTTCATGGTGTCCCGGCTCTGGATGTTGGACTGGAATATGATAACCAGCACCTAACCTAATGTGACAACCTAGGAAGAACTGATATGGAAGTTGAACGATAGGTTATGAATTCTATTTTGTGAGACCAATGATATTAAAGTGTAATTAAAACATATGAATTAAAAGGGATTGATTTAAATAACCCTTATAAGTAATACTTAATATGATAAAAATGTTTTTGAAATAAAGCTTTTGAAGACAAAAGGTTATGTAAAAATTAAACATCATTATTTTAGAAAAATATTGTGTGAAATTTAAATTTTTTTTTAAGAGAGGGAAAGGTGCATCATAATATTTGCATATTTTAACCTCGGAGATTGAAAATAAATAAAAATAAATTAAATATTAAAACGCTACTAATTAAATATTGAAACGCTAAAAAATATAAAACGCTAAAAGTATAAAACGCTATGATTAACTTAACACCTAAAAAATAATATAATAATCATCATGATTTATCATTCCTTATTTTGGATTTTATTCCTTATTCCATAAATTATCATTCCTTATTACATATTTTATTGTTCCGAAATTCAAAATTTTATTCGTGCATATTATTCATACATTTGATTTGATCAACTATTCCAAATTATATATTCCAATTTATTCCAAATTCCAATATTCAACTGGATTAATGATAATAAAAATTTTGAGAAATGTGAACAACATACGATAAGGGTATCAAACCTACGCGATTGATTCAAGCCTACAATAAACGTACAAACTCACGCAACTCTAATAAACGATTTTATCAAACCTACGTGATAGAATCAAGCCTGCGAAAACATTTGAGACTTATGCGTTAACCAATATGAAACCGAGTACAATCGAAACAGGAAAAACTTCTAGGACAACAAGCTCTCGATGACTGCTGAGAAGAAGCTTCGTTATTTGTAGAAGAGGGGGAATGTTGATTGATTTAAATTTGAATATTATTTATTTTATATGTTGATTGATTTAAATTTGAATATTATTTATTTTGTATATTAACTATTTAAGTTGTTCAATTAACTTGTAAATTTTATATATATATATAATGTTATTAGATGAAAAAGATAGTAATAAAAATAGTTAAAATAAGTCCTTACATTTATTATTTACATACTTATAATTATATTTTCACTATGTTAGCTTGCAATCAAATTCTATATCAAAAATATAATATCAATATCATCACTATTAATTTAGCATTAACAGTTGAAGCTTAATTGTATTATTTAAATTATAATAATATAACCCTAATTAAATTAATATAATCATTTATTAATTGAAAATTAACAAATTTAATATTGTAATTAGCAGAGTTGTACATTTGCTCAAAATAAAAAGATCTCTGAAGATCGTAAAATTTGAAGATCTTTTATTTATAAAAAAATTTGAGCAACGATCTTAAAAGATCTAGATCTTTGAAGATCGTAAAATTTGAAGATCGTAAAATTTGAAGATCTTTTATTTTTTAAAAATTGAAGATCGCAGCGATCAACGATCTTCATGATATTTATTTTTTTACCCCTTTATTAAAAGCCCAGATGTTTTTCAATTTTATTAATATAATATTTCTTTTGATGATGATTCAAATAAGCCATTTTCACAGTATATATTTTTTAAATATTATTTTCTCATATATAGCCAAAATCTTTACTAAATTAAAATATATTTTTTGTAAAATAATCTAGCTATAAAATTTAAAACTTTTCAAATAACATTAGCACAGGAAATTTGTTAAAACACTTGACTTCTGAACATAATATTGAAGCAGATACTTCATCAAATTCGCAAGATTTAAAAAAAATATTTATATCCAAATCAAAATTTCAGATAAATCCTAAAACCTCTAAAAAAGGCTTCTAGTACCTTTTCAATCAATTGATAATATTGGAATAAAAATTTTTTTGAAGGTATCAAATTTATAAATATATTATCTATTATAATAATAGATCTACCTTTATGTCTGTTTTGTTCTATTGAAAGAACATTGGCTACTGAGGAAGACTTTTAATAGTTGAATGATATAGTCATGCTAACAATATTATTTCACATAGACATATATGATTTAAATAATATTGGTTAATTGCATATTCATTTGTTTTAATCATCTCTATTTTTGTGTAGCTTTGCAATCCAAAATAAATTCTTAACAAATTTATTTCTTCTTGAAAATTCTCCCTAATTTGTTGTCAAATGTAAATTAAAGATATAATGATTTTCTATTATAAATTTAAAAAATACTTATTTTAGAAATATCAAGGTATTAATTCTAAATCTGATTTGCCAGGCATGACAACACTAGGCCATGCTGCTCTTAATGATGTTTACCTATCAATGAAAGCACATGTACAAGAACAAATTAACTCAGGGCCAAAATTTTGCTCAATTACATTTGATATGTAGACAGATCAATACAGAAGAAGAAACTATATTACATTTACAGTTCATTTAATAAATGATAATTTTGAAATGATTTACTTTAATTTAGCAACTCATTATATAACCCAAAAACACACAGCAGTTAGCTAAAAAAAAAAAATAATTAATATAATGCTAGCTAAAAAAGGAAATTAATTTTATTAGCTAAAAAAAAGAAATTTTGAAAAAATTTTAAAAATATTTTAAGACCCCTGAGATTGTAAAGGCTAGTTACGCCCCTGATCTACGATAGGTATTCCTCATCATCTAACTGAACATAAATTATGTTTTGTAAAAAATAAAAAAATGAGGAACCCTCAGACATTGAACAAGTCACACGTATTTGTATGCAGAACAGTACGAA